AGGTGAGCCATGATCACACCCACTGCCCCCAGCCTGGGTGACAGGCAGGGGACGAACCTGTCTCAAAAAAAACACACAAAAAATATTGCAAAATAAAGGCAGATATTAAAAACTATAAAGAACCTATTGGCCCACTCCTCTAGCTGATTTTTTCCAGGTCCCTGAATCACTATGTTGTTTTACTTTGTCAGGAAGCTGTTCCCTCCCCCCCAGGAATATTCAATCCAAGTTCTCAAGTACCTTCCTATAAACAGCCTTTCCTGAAACATTTATCTACTGATTTTTTTTTTCTTTTTGAGATGAAGTTCTCACATCTGGATAGCCCAGGACTAGAGGCAATGGTGCAATCTCGAGCTCATGCAATCCTCCACCTCCTGGGCTGCAAGTAATTCTGCCTGCCTCAGATCCTACCCAAGTTGCTGGGGACTACAGGCCATTGCCTACATGCCCCGAGCTAATTTGATATTTTTATTTTATTTACTAATTTTTATTTTTATTTTAATTATTTTTGGACAGGGTTTTTCCTTCCAACTCTGATGGCCCCAGGCCTTGGAGTGCAAGTGGCGATAGATCTTTAGCTCACTGCAACTGTCTGCCTCCCAGGTTTCAAGCCATCTCCTGCTTCACTCCGAATGTGCTGGATTACAGGTGCCTGCCCACCCCACGCCCAGTCTAATTTTTGTATTTAAGTACAGATGGGGAGCTTCACATCATTGGCCAGGCCTAGGTCTCAAACTCCTGACCTCAATGATTGGTTACACCTCGGGCCTCCAAAATGCTGTGGATTAGAAGGGGCGTGAGCCACGGAGGAGGGGCTGAGGGGGTGCTGGAGGACTGAAGTAAGCTGTCTCGAGGAACTACATCCAGGTCCCCTCCTGTGCTCTTTCTTTCAGGGGTCCGGATCACTCCGCGAGCCACGCCCCATTTCTGACCTGGCCAAGCCCCGCCTCTCTCCGCCTGGGTCCCTCCCCAACCTTCCCGGGCCCTCGAAGGATCTCGGAGGCGAAGTTGCTAGAAGATACCTAAGAGGGCCCCAGGGGAGATGGAACAACCAAAGGACGGGGCTGGGCCTGAAGGGTGAGACAAACAAAGACCTCCTGAGAGGGGGACAGAAACCCAGAGAGAGGAGGGGACAGTGAAAACGAGAGAGAAAGGATGCGCTGAACAGACCTGCATAGAGAATCAGGAAAAACAAAAAAGGCTCAGGTATCATCACATAGAATCTTAGAAGAGCTTAGTGAGAGTTGAGCGAGATATTTAGAAACAGGCGGAGACCAGGTGCAGTGGCTTATGCCTGTAATCCCAGCATTTTGGGAGGCCGAGGCGGGTGGATCGCCTGAGGTCGGGAGTTCGAGACCAGCCTGAACAACATGGAGAACTCTGTCTCTCCTAAAAATACAAAATTAGCCGGGCGTGGTGGCGCATGCCTGTAATCCCAGGTATTCGGGAGGCTGAGGCAGGAGAATCGCTTGAACCCGAGAGGCGGAGGTTGCGGTGAGCCAAGATCAGCCATTGCACTCCAGTCTGGGCAACAAGAGCGAAACTCCATCTTAAAAAGAAAAGAAAAGAAAAAGAGCTAGAAACAGATACTCATCGAACAGAAATTTCCAAGAATAAACCAAGAAATATGAAGACTCCAGAGATCCCCAGAAGGCTGGAGAAATCGTGGCTGTCCACTGTTTTAGCACTTACCAGACCCAGCCCTGTTATTCGTGCCTTTGATACCATCCAAAGCCATCTTTGACTATAAACAAGTTAAGGTTTGGAATAAGAAAATGGTTTGTCCAAAGATACACCACCAAAAGCGAGGCGGCCAGGAATTGGAACTGAGTTCTGTCTGATGCTGCAGTTCATGGCAGAGCTGTCTGTTTCTCTAGAGAGACCCGGGTTAGAAACAAAAAGAGAGAGAGAAGCGGGGGAGGAAGTCACAGGTGGGCACTGAGGATGGAGAGATGGCTGCCTTCCGCAGAGGTGCAGAGACAGCCTGGCAGCGAGAAACAAGGAAGTACGGAGACGCTGAGCCCCACTGACCTGTCTTTTTGTTCTAGGAACAACCTGTCATCTGGGGCTGAGCCATGGCCCCCTGCGCCTCTCCCAACCCCACCACCCTGGCTCCTGAGCTCCACAGACCCCGCCCACCTGGGGCTCCCAGAGAGCGTGGCCTCTGTCACCGTGCCCATACGCCTGGACACCCTCTCCTGCCTCCTGCACAGCGCCCTGCTGGGGGCCTACACTTTCCAACAGTCCTTGCCCTCTTGCTCCTGCTGCCCCCAGGCAGGCCACACTCAGCCTGGCGCAGTCAGGAGGCCTCCCAGGGGACGCGGGGGCTGGGAAGTCAGGCACAGGCCAGGCTGGGGCCGGGGCCCATATCGACGAGGAGGCCTCGGGAGAGCTGAGCAGCCAGAGAGGGGTCGGGCGGGGGGCCCTGGGGCTGGCCCCAGGACCCCACCAATGACGCTGCCATCAGCACCAACACTGCCTGCCCAGGATGGGAAGAAGGAAGCTGGAGGTCCAGAGCCACCCCTGGAAGCACCACCGGCTGCTGAGGACTGGGAGACAGAGTACTAGGACCCTGGAGGGTCCAGCACCTGAGATTGCAGTCGCCCAGGAGGGTTTTCCTGGGGCCCGGAGTGACCTCGGCCCTGTCAGAAGAACCCCAAGAAACATCTTCCATCCTCCCCTCTCCCCAAAACCGTAGTCCCAGGAGTAGCTCCTGTGAGCCACTTGGTGAACCTGACCTAAGTCACCTGAATCCCAAGCCAGAAGAAAACCCTAAACCTCATGCCCAAGCCTGTCTCCCTGATGGCCTCAACCCCATTCCCAATGCCATCCCCAACCACAACCACCATCCTTACCTCATTCTCAATCCCCAAGGTTCCCCGAGCCCCATAACCCCAAAGCCTCTCTCCCTAACCCCAAAGCCACTCCTACCAGCCTCTCTCTTCCCCACTGTCAATCCCTATTCCCAAACCCATTCACTCCCATCCCTGTCACCAGTCCCAACTCCACTTCTGCGCCTCAACCCAAACCCACCCTCGTTACCAACCCCTTTCTCCTCATTCCCTATGTACCTCAGCCCATCTTTAATGTCCTCTGAATCTACAGCTCCAAAGAGCCCCATCCTCAACCTCAGCCACAGCTCTGTGTCCATCCCCACGAAGAATAAGCAATAAATGTGTGACTCTCCCTGTATCTTGCGTGCGTGTGCTTACACAGCTCGGACAAAGCCAGGGTTGTTGTGAGCAAGGCTGGCGACAAGGTAGTGGGTCCAGGGGAGGGTCACAGAGGTCAGTGAGCAGGGGCTGGGGGTGGGGAGTCCCCTGGATGCCTGCTTCAGCAAATTCCATTTGAGGCCTTTGCCACCGCTGCATTTCTGATTGCTGGAAGCTGCTGGATCGTGGGACCATTGTGTAGGGAGGCTTAAGGGATTTGGGGAACCTATGGGGGCCAAGAGGCCAGTGACCAGGCTCAGCTCAGTCTGCACAGAGGGGCCGTGGCAGAAGGAGGGCTCGGGCAGGCTCTGCCACTCAGGTAGGCACCAAGCATGGGACCTGTAGCCCCCTTTTCCCCAAGTCCCAAGAGTCTAGGGTCCCAGCTCCTCCTCCTCCCAGGACCTGGTGTCCACCCCCTGGCCCCTAGCCCCTTCCTTACCCAGCACCCAGGAATCCAAGCCCCTGGGCCTCTCCTCACCTAGGACTCAGGAATCTAGGCCTCCAAGCTATTCTTTGCTCAGAACCTGGAAGTCCAGGTCCCCGGCCTTCTCTTCCCCAGGACGCCAGGCTCCAAGAACCCAGCCCCTCCTCCCTGTCGTCTTTCCAGGATCCCTACCATCCTCCTCCCTCAGACCCGGGAATCCGGGCCCCCAGTCCCTTCCTTCCCCAGGACCCAGGCGTCTAGGTCTCCATCTCCTTCTCCCAAGCACCTGGCATCCCACTCCTGAGCCCTCTCTTCCCCCAGTTCCCTTCCTCCATCAAGTCCCAGGAATCCTGCTCCCAACCCGATCTCTCCCCTTCCCCGCAGATCACCATGTACAGCTTCATGGGTGGTGGCCTGTTCTGTGCCTGGGTGGGGACCATCCTGCTGGTGGTGGCCACGGCAACAGACCATTGGATGCAGTACCGGCTGTCAGGGTCCTTCGCCCACCAGGGCCTGTGGCGGTACTGCCTGGGCAACAAGTGCTACCTGCAGACAGACAGCATCGGTGAGCCCCCCGGCCAGGGTCCGGGCCGCGCCTGGGGAAAGAGCAGGGCGGACCTCGGGGCCCAAGGACACCTGTATTCCAGATGGAGAACTCTGCGGCTCAAAGAGGGAAAGGGAGCAACCCAAGGTCACTCACATGGAGGGGGCAGAACTGGTACTGCAGGGTTGCTTTCTAGCTGCAGTGACACGGGGTGCTGGTTTGCAGGTTAAGTTGGGAGAGGCGGCATTTCCTGACACCTCAAAGGTGTCATGCACAGCAACTGGGGCTAGTGTCACGAAACAGCATTTTCTAAGTATCTACTATGGACCAAGAACTATGTTAGGTACCAGGGGATACAGAAGAAATATGGGCCCTGAATTTGCTAAATACTGCATAATGTAGCATAAAGTATTTTTGCCTACTTACAATGTACCAGGCCATAGAGAGATACATAGAGATATATAGTATAGTGCATGCTGCATAACATCTATAATATATTAAGTTAGTATATACTACATTATGTATAATATATGCAATTTATGTTATTACATATAACTCATGTATAATATATGTAACTACATATATACATTAATAAATTAATATACAATATAGTGTATTATACATGCACCTCTATTATATAATAAATTACTAATACATAATATATTGTATATAATATGCTACATATTATATAATAAATAATGCACATATATTGTATATATGATGTAGAATCCATTATATTACACATTCAATATCTAATAAATAGTATATATTATGCTACATATAATATAATAAATTAATAGTGTATATATTATACAATATATTATAATAAATATATAAAGTAGAGAATATTATATTGCACACTTATTATATAATATATTAATAAATTTGGCCAGGTGTGGTGGCTCACAACTGTAATCCCAGTACTTTGGGAGGCCAAGGTGGGTGAATCACCTGAGGTCAGGAGTTCGAGATTAGCCTGGCAAAAGAGGTGAAACGCGGTCTCTACTAAAAATACAAAAATTAGCCAGGCATGGTGGTGCGCACCTGTAATCCCAGCTACTCAGGAGGCTGAGGCAGGAGAATCGCTTGAACCCAAGAGGTGGAGATTGCAGTGGGCCCAGAAGGTGCCACTACACTCCAGCCTGGACGACAGACAAAGGCTCTGTCAGAAAAATAAATAAACAAATAAAAATTAATTAATACTATATAATATATATATTACTACTAGTAATAGTATTAATAATACCTGACATTAATTGAGTGCTTACTATGCCCTATGTGCTATTCTAAGCACTTTACATGTAAGAGCAGTTCAATTGTATGTAAGAGTGAGACATGAGATGTGACCTCAAAATTCAAACATCCTCTTGAGTAGTTGAGAGGAAGAGCTAAGCCCCACTGAGTGCCGGACATGACAGGCACGGGAGACTTCGCCCACCCATTTCTCCCTGAGCCAGCCCTGAGGGAGAGGCAGGACGATGCCTGTTTGCTGGAGAGGTAGACTGAGGCAGGGAGAAGTGGAAAGACTTGCCTTGGGCCACCAGCTTCAGAGTCCCATCTGCCTGACTCCACACATCCTTCTCACTTCTGGCTGTCTCATCTGTGACACTTCTACATTTCTCCTGCTTCAGGCTGGGAATTCCCCGAGGGACAGCCCTGAGCCGCCTCTCTGTCTTATCTCTGCCAGGGATGCAGGAGACAGGGAGGCTTGGCGAAGGTCTTCGGGTTTTTGTTTGTCTGTTTTTGTTCTGTTTTGTTTTGTTTGAGACAGACTCTCGCTCTGGCAATGGCGCTATCTCGGCTCACTGCAACCTCTGCCTCCTGGGTTCAAGCAATTCTCCTTGCCTTAGCCTCCCAAGTAGCTGGGATTATAGGCCCCCACAACCATGCCTGGCTAATTTTTGTATTTTTGGTAAGAGACAGGGTTTCACCATGTTGGCCAGGCTGGTCTTGAACTCCTCCTGACCTCAGGTGATCCACTCGCCTTGGTCTTCCAAAGTGCTGGGATTACAGCTGTGAGCCACCACACTCAGCCTCATTATTTCATTTGATTTGATTTTTGTAGAGAGAGCATCTGGCTGTATTGCCCGGGCTTGTTTCAAACTCCCGGCTTCAGATGGACAGGGTGGCTCAGCCTGTAATCCCAGCACTTCGGGAGCTGAGGTAGGAGGATCACTTGAGCCCAGGAGTTTGAGACCAACCTGTGCAACGTAGGGAGACCCCATCTCAACAACAACAAAAAAAATTAGCTGGGCATGGTGGTGTGCTCCCCTGGCCCCAGCTGCTCAGAAGGCTGAAGTGGGAAGATCACTTGAGCCCAGAAGTTTGAGGCTGTAGTGAGCTAAGATGGAGCCACTGCACTCCAGCCTGGGTGACAGAGCAAGACCCTGTCTCAAAAAATAAGAAGAAGATACAAGAAATACTTAAAAAGAAACCCTCCTGGCTTCAAGAAATCCTCCTGCCTCAGCCTCCCAAAGTGCTAGGATTCCAGGTCTGAGACCCTGTGACCGGCCTGAATTAGTGTGCTAGGGGTGCCATAACAAAGTCCCACACACCAGGTGGCTTGAACAAGAGCAATGTGTTGTCTCACACTACTGGAGGCCTAGATGAAGATGTGGGCAAAATCACTTCTTTCTGAGGGGTGTGAGGGAGAATCTGTTCCATCTCCCTCCCTCCCTGGCTTCTGGTGATTTTCTGGGAATCTTTGGTGTTCTTTGGTTTGGAGATGCATTACTCCAATTTTTGCCTTCCTCACACACGGCATTTTTCCTGAAAGCGTGTCTGTGTCCAGATTCCTCTTTTTATAAGGACGGCAGTCTTTGTTTTATGTTTTGTTTTGTTTTTTAGATGGAGTCTTGTTCTGCCGCCCAGGCTGGAGGGCAGTGGCATGATCTTGGCTCACTGCAACCTCCACCTCCCAGGTTCAAGTGACTCTCCTGCCTCAGCCTCCTGAGTAGCTGGGATTACAGGCGCCCACCATCACACCTGGCTAATTTTTGTATTTTTAGTAGAGACAGGGTTTCACCGTGTTGACCAGGCTGGTTTCAAACTCCTGACCTTAGGTGATCCACCTGTCTTGGCATCCCAAAGTGCTGGGATTACACTGGGCAGGAGCCACCAGGCCCAGCCCAGTCTTTGGATTAGAGTCCCACCCTACTCTAGTGTGATCTCTTCATAACTAATTATATTTGCAAAGACTCTATTGCCAAATAAGGTACCATTCTAAGGCACTAGTCACAATTTCAACATAAAAATTTGGAGCTGGGGACAGAAAGATATAACTCAACCCATACAAATATCCATGAAGAACCTGTCAGGAATTTCTCTCACTGAGGCTTCTACAAGACAAAAGACTGGGTTTTACAAAGATCCTAGACTTTTTACTTTTCAATGGCAAGATGCAAGGTTTGAGGTATACCATTTTCCTGGGTCCTCCAGCAGACAGAATAGCCAAGCAGTTAGGAGCGCGGGCCTTGGAGCTTGGATTCCGACTCCAGCCGTTTCTAATTATGAGACCTCGGCAAGTCACTTTACCTCTCTGGGTCTCCATTTCTTCACTTGAAAAATAAGAATAAAAATGGTACTTATAGAATAGGACTCTGGAGGAACAAATGACATCACACCTGGGTAGTGAGCCTGGCATATAGTTAGCTATTGCCAAAGGAGGAAGAGATTATTATTATCTTTCCCACAGCATCTCCTGAGGGGCCAGCGCTGGGCAAAGCACAAGAGAAGAATGGCCCCAGTGCTCAACACTCACTCATTTCACGCATTTATCGAGCACCTATTATGCACCAGGTGCTAGGTGCTGGGGACCCTGTGGTGAATGAGACAGCAAGGCCCTTGTCCTTGCAGAGCTAAGGATTTACTGAGGAGAGACAGACATTATAAATCAGTTAAAAACAAGTAAAAAGGACATTTTCAGATATAAGCAAGTAGTATAAAAGAAATGAAAGAGTAGGCCGGGTGCAGTGCCTCACGCC